CATCTCCCAATTCTAGTCTCCACTATTAGACAAATACCTATCCCGATTGCTAATACAATTTATACTTGCCAACTCACAGAATCGTCATAAGCTGACAATACTAATAATAAACATTGTCATTGCAGTTTGTTGTTTATCAACAGTGAATAATGGCATCTTAAAATAGACGCACTAATACTAATAATATACAACCCGCGACATTGTGGCGACGTTACTCACAATTTATTAAACAATGATTTTTAATAAATAGAAAGAATAAAAGTTTGTGCCATTTTATAAAAATTAGTTATTGAAAATAATTGTTAATGCTACTATGTATTTCATTCATTCTCTCTCTTTTTACCAACCCTGGCAAAATAACTTGAAAGAAAGAGAAAGAATGAAATTATAAAAAAAATACAGGAAAATTTTGATAATGGAAAATAATATTTACAATTATACTCACTAATGTATTATAACATAATTTATCCTTTAATTAAATTTATACAAAAGATTAATTAAATTAGAATACATTTAATTGACTGTTGAATTTTGGGTATAACTTAATCATTTAAATTCATTAAAAATTTATAAGAGTATGAAATAAATTACAAATCTATTTCATACTCTTATAAATTTGAGACAAAATATAGGTAAACAACTTATAATAACTATCGTTATTTATAATGCACTAACAAAATACCGACTTGCTTAAGATCATAAAGTTACGACTTGGGTTCGTACAGGCCGCCTGCTTACATTTACGCTATTTTTGAGTTGCTGCGAGTTACATACCAGCTGTTACATCTTGTAACATAATAAGTTGTGGTAATCTAATTTTAATTGGCAATCCCAGAAAGAGTTTCTGAATGTTATTCATAAATATATATTATACCTAATATAGGTATTGTTTATCATAGATTTATAGTATTTTGTAAATATTTTCCGTTTCTGTTGTAAAAAGATAAATTATACCACACTATTTTTAGAACAATTATTTTAAATTTGACACTATAGAAATAAATCCTGAACTAGCCAAATAACATATGTGATATGGCATAGATTTCTTGCTTTATCATGAAAAATAGAAGTCACATGTAGATTCTACGTCAGGATTCTAATACAAACAACAATATGTTAGACAGAAATAATAACAAATAAGAAAAAATATATTTATTATCATCAAGTATCATAAGTATTTATGTTATTTATATATTTGTAGCCTTAAATAATTTACGTGTCTCATTTATATTTTGTGCACCGGCAACAATGTTACTCTGCACCACTCATAGTTGACTGGTAGATAACGCCGCAATGTGTTAAACTTTATTTTGGTGCATTAAAGTTAAATATTATTATTATAAAATTTAATGTCATTGTTGATATTTACGAATTATTAATTACTTTTTATTATTGATTTTACCGAAGCTGTGTTTCACATGACGAGATACGCCACTGAAATTACAGGATACGAAGGCATGACATCTTAGATCACAGGGATGACATCGAATGAGGGTTAAGTATCACCGGTGCCACATGTAGTGCTCTTCCTTTATATAGGAAACAGTTGCTATTTAATATAGTGGATGCTAAATATCAAATCAAATTGTATGCTATATCAGATATGCGTACTTACCTAATCAGTCTTCATTATAAATTATACATCTATTTTATATATTCATCTTATTAAATTAAGCTCCATCTAACGGAGCTTCTTTGAATTAACGTTTTAAATGAACTGCACGCCATCTGGCAGTGGAAGCAGCGTGAGCGCGGCGGTGCGTAAGGCTCCGCTGCGCGCAACTGACTGAATAACGCAGGCTTTTATAATCACTTTCTATAAATAAAACGCAAGCTGAAATTGAGAAGCGAGGAATAGTTATTTTGAGGTTACATTTCAAAGTAACGACAGGCTATTTTCACAGTTACGATGTACGGCAGTGGCCGTTATTCTCGTTAGCCGTTATTCTTGGCAGTAATGGCGGCAGCATAGCAGCAATACTGCTCGACATTGCAGATAGATGGCAGAGTGTTCGTGTTTTCTCAATCATTCAAATCTAAAGTAGATAGTAATTTAGTATAGTTTTATATCATGTATTTTTTTATATTTGTAATTAAAAACACGTTTGTTTACTGCAATGTTAATTTCCTCGTTACTTTCGTACCGACTGGCTTGTACTGATAATATCAATATTAAAAATAATAATTAGGAGAACTACAATGTTGCCTTTTAAGAAACTGTAAATATTTAAAGTCTCTATTCTTAACATTCAAATATTTAAACAGTTATTTATTATTAACCAATATATTATTATTATGTTACACACATTATTATAGGCTGGAAGAATACAGCTGAAAAAGATATAAGTACTCGTAGTAACTAAATATATCCCTTTGTCAGGGATGTCATATGGTACATGGGTTAAGACGACTTCCACGCGTTTTCCTCGGAAACCGTCATGGTAACTTCTTTGTGAATTTCTCATGATGGGCTAACTGATCTGATCTAATGCTTATATTGAGAGAAAGGGTATTTATTTATTTATTTTTCATCCAAAACAAAACTAATTGTGTAGGATAACATAATTGCAACATTACAGTAAATTTTTGTCAACAACATAATAGCAACTTAAATATTAAATCTAGGTATGTCAGCCAGCATAGTGCAGTAGGTCCTCATAAGTCTTTATGTCCATCATTATAATAGTCATCTACGGTATAGTAACACTTATTCAATAAATATGACCTCAATCTGGACTTAAACAATGTGAAACTATAAACAGTTTTTAAATGTATTGGTAAATTATTAAACAATTTTACAGATTGATATTTCGTACTGTGTGTAACTATTGTGAATTTAGGAATCATTTGGGATTGCAGATCTTTTCTCCTAGTACTTTCACGGATGAATCTTTCTTCGTTAGTTTCTATCTGGGTTAAGTTTTTCATGAAATTACAAACAGTCGCCAAAATGTACAAACAAGGCACTAGCAAAATTCTTAATTCTTTAAAATAATTCTTACATGAATCCCTTTGTGGAATGCGCATTATTGTCCTAATTGCCCTTTTTTGAATCACAAAAGCAGAATTTACATTATAATAGAAACTATTACCCCATAATTGGATACTATATCGCAATTTGGATAACCCCATTGCTCAACTAATGCCTCCACGCGGTACATTGTGTTAGACTTGAGATGATTTATATTTAGTTCATCGTAAACCGCAGAGTTCCATTATCTCCACAAAAAAAAAATCAACTAATGCGTATACATAGACTTGAGATGATTTATATTTAGTTCATCACGCAGAGTTAACTATTTCTGCTAGTTCGGGTTTCCAATTTAAATGTGAGTCTATAAGTACTCCTAAGAACTTAACTGTTTCTACTAACTCTATTGGTGCACCATCCAGTTTTATGTCCATCGTGTCTTTTTGTTTTGTTGTTGACTTAAACAAAATTACATTTGTCTTTTTAGCATTCACTTTTAGGTTGTTGGCTCTAAACCACATATTAAACAATTTTAGTGCCTGATTTGTTTTATATTCCAAGATTTGCAATGTATCTGCAGAGATTACAGCATTTGTGTCATCTGCAAATACTATTAAATTTAAATCAGACATTGAATTCTGCATGAATGTAATCAAATCATTAGTGAAAAGAAGAAACAATAATGGCCCCAATATAGAACCTTGCGGCACACCACGCTCAATTAATGTCAAATTTGATCTATACATCATTACGAAATGACATCATCGATATACGATGAGCTTATTTCAACGTATTGTGTTCTATTTTTAAAATATGATTTTAATAATTTTAATTCATTGTTACGTATACCTACCATAATATTCTAATTTTGTAAATAATATTTGATGACCCACCAAGTCAAATGCGGAGCTTAAATCAAGAAACAGTCCACTTATTTTTTGTTTTTGATTAAGTTTTACGATTATATCATCAATTAGTTGTACGATAGCATCCGATGTTCCAACATGTCTTTTGTATCCAAATTGTCTGTTATGTAATACTTCGTATTAACAAGATGTTTGTCAATCCTTTTTTTAATTAACTTCTCTAAAATGTCGCATTGTGCACCAAACATTATTTGCTTCAGACAATCTTGTAGGCTTGACATATCTAATAAAACAAGTCAACAATATCAATACATATTTGACGGCCTCGGTGCTCTTAGCGGTGTAACATACCGCCTCGCGGGTCGAATGGTCGCGGGTTCAAATACACGCACGGTACAAACATTTGTATTCATGAATATGATTGTTTGTATCGGTCTGTGTATTTTTTATATCTATTATAGGTGCATTTACAATAAAAATATGTATATATGTAGGTATTTATATAAGGTGTCTAGTACCCATAACACAAGATTTGTTTATCTTGGGATGGCGCTGTGTCCGGAGATATTATTATTGATAAGTATGTGCTTCTTTTAGCACAAAATCGAGTTGAAGTAAAAACACGACTTTTATATATATATTATTTTTGTATATATATATGTATTATTTTATATATAAACTATTTACTTCTTCAACTGTAACAATAAATAAAATAAAAAAAAAACATTCTCATAAGTTTTATCTTCAATGAATATTTAATAGACATTTATCGTTGGAAAATTAAAAGCATATCCCCGGTCATCATTGATTCGAATGCAACCTAATAGTAGTAACCTCTATTGTCGTTTTGCCGTTTGACCAGACTAAAATATTGTAGGTTTGGGCTGTGCTTGATAGAATGATAATCAGGCTAGTGTGCAATACTAATCCAAATCTTATTCTATCAATAACATACCTACTTCGCCAAAAAAGATTATGCCCTGTGTTTGTAATGTAATTTTCAATCAAAAAGGTGGTGTTTACCAAAATAGTGTTGTGATTTGATTAGTGTTAGCACAGCTAACATAATATTACATAGTGTTAGTGATTTGTTTTCCGAAACACATAGACTTAAGGTAAAATTTTATTAAAAGGTAAATTTATTTGTATTCAAAAAAATAAAATTATATACCATACATTTTATTATAAAAAGGTAATAAAATGGAAATAAATATTTTCACTTATCCTAAATACTTAGATACGTACAAAATCATATGGCGCTACATGGAACAATAAGACAATGAGACATCTATAACCACAAAATAATGTTTACAGACACGTAAGGATTTTCACGTTAAATGAAACTAAATATCTAATGCATAATCACTTCAAAGGTTTCATATGTTGGCTAGGCTAGGCTTATAGTCTCTCATACAGCGTCCGCACTTGTTTTGTACAAAATTCTTACAAATTAATATCACTTGGCGTATGGAGTGGCGAGTAGTTCACTTGCCCAAGAGAATCTTGCGGCCAGCACCTAAGTTCTGACCAGCCTGGGTGGCACCCTTGTTAGAACCAGCCTGTAATCCGATAACGGTCTGACCAGCCTTCAGCACTTCCTCGGAGAAGTCACGCTTGCACTCATCAGCGGGCTTGGGGCCGAGGTATGGTCCACTCCACTCAGCGTGCCTGTAGGTCTATTAAAGACAAAAATAACAAAGAATATTATTATTGGAATTTTACAATGCGTGGAAATATTTGAACTGAACCTAAATAGCCCCATTCGGCCTCTACCTAACCACGTGGCCTTGGATATTTATGAAAACTGAGGTAATGTGGCACAAAACTCGTAAATTTTGTTGAACTTGGCAAGCTGCCAACTTCTCAAATTCAAAACGTATCAAGCTAACATACTGTAAACGCGTTATTTTTCATAACGATACGATTCTATTTTGGTGCTTGTTGATCATAAACAAATATGGTGATCGTAAACTTTCCTAAAGTTTACGCTGCTATAGTGTATTAACTGTCAAATGCTGCTTTCAGGTACTGCTACAGGTCCGTGCGTAATGTGCTATTAAACTATATATACACAGTTTAAACACCAAACATGGATTATGTTGATGATTAGGTGGATACGCAGGTGTATTAATAACGCGAAAACAACATTTGAACTTTTTATCTTAAGGTCAACTGCTGTTAAGTAAGTTTATGTAGATATAACTACAGATTAAATTCTATCTACTTTTATAAACTTTATGTTTACTTTATGTTTTTAATTATTTACCTCACGACCCAGAGCAAACAGCGTGCTAACTACTTGCGCGATGTCTTTCTTCTCCCAGAGATCGACAGTCTGGAATACATCGATGTCTACCACTCCATACGCTTTAATGGCTGCTTGGAAGCTGTAACAAGATAACAATACATTGCAAACTCATACGTAATATTTAAAGCAATACAAATATAAAATTACTTAATTCTCTAAAAAAATGCTTTCAGTAGAAACAATCAATGTTGAAAATATTATGTCAGTAATCTCTTGGTATGTTTAAGTATACTGAATAGTTATATTTATGTAAAAATAGTATTAGGAATACACAAATAACTAGAAAAACCTACTGATTAATTTCGTATGACTTTAGGTAAATGCCTCCTTTAGCTGTACTACACCGATAAAACTTTAAAAATATTTAAATACAATGAGAGTGACATTTTACTCACTTGGTGATGTTTTCCATCATCTTGAACTGTCCACCAGAAGTATTGATTTTGGGAACGGAACCAGGCTTCAGCTTATTAATAAGCTGGCAGAGGACAGTGCCGTCCTTCAGGACATCCTCAAAAGCCTCACCGGGGGGGAATTTGGCACCAAGGACTGTTTCAATCCATTGCTGGCACTCCTGCTCTTGTTCAGGGTTGCGCTTGGAAGCGAGCTGTGAATATCAACAATTTGCGAATTAGTTAAATGCAAAAATGAATTTCCATACTGGATGTTTAGTGTTTTTTTTATAATATTTATGCTGTGCTATGGGTTATCAGAAATTTATAAAAACATACTTTTATATTTAAAATACAAATACAAGGTTGTTATTTAGTGTTGTGATATTATCTAATTATCATATATTTATAATTTCTTAAATTATATTTTTAAAAGAATATAATTATTAAAATATATTTAAGTTTATAACGAGTTAATCAAATTAGATGTTTGGTAATTTCTTATAGATTTTAGTTTTTTTTTAATAATATTTACCTTGGCGCGGACTTGGCGTTCCAGAGACATGTTGTGTTGTGTGCCTGTGTCTGGTTAATACTAAGAGGATATATAGTGCGCTTTCCGAAGCACCGCTAGACTGAACTCCTGAAAACTGAGTCCACGTATTTATAGTGCGCTCGCAGGCTGCGCCCTTCTGGAAAACTCGCGGGTGTAGGCGATGATCAGTCTGCTACAAATAATAATCTGACTCAACAACCTTTATCCAAAGTTGTGATACATTTCTTTGTCACTTTTATTAAAATATTTCTTTATTTCGACTATCAGTCACTATCATGTTGCTCAATAAAACCTTCCTAACCTTTAGTTTACTGGTACCTACCCTCTTCTTCCTCCATCTTCAGTTACATTTGTTACTCTGTTACTTTGATTTAAAATATTTCCCGTTTGAAGACTCTGAATTTCATATTAATTTAAACCCTACTGCTTACCCTTGACATCATAACATGATTATCCATTTGACTGACTTTAAAAGTAGTTTTTCTTACAAATACATGGCCCTGCGGCATACCACGTGTACGAAAGACTACATTTGAAAAGTGGAATAAAAGAAGAAATAGATACAATTAGAGGTATATTCTAAGTTGCATGCCTAGTACTCAACAGATCCATACTAGAAGGAGTCATGGAACCCGAATTTATAAGTAATAATATATATATTTAGATACCTTACATTTTTATTATCTATGAATACTTTGATATCTGATAAATAGAAATGAGGATTAGTAGACATGAATCTCCATATTAAATTGTTTAGTTTTTTTTATTTAGTAAGTCACCAAAAATGTTTTGAAATTAATGCACTGTAATATAGTTACAGTAGAGTATTAAATATACGTAAGTAGAGTATATAATTTTCATATAATAAAAAAAAACAGTTCTGCATAATGACAAAGGTCAATAAGTTAAGTTTAATTATTTAAGATACTTTTAAATTCATTCGTATTCCAAATGAAAGATTCATAGATATAAAGACTGAATTCTCTCCTGTCATATAAATTACTTTAATTACGCTACCCTAAGCCAATTGAACAACTAGGTACATACACATCAAACACGCGATGTACGTGGATTATTGTCAATTGCCGGAATAACAAATGTGTGAATTTGTGTCACTATATTTTACAACAGTTTTATCTGTATCCATATATCTACTTCTAATTGCCTGTGAATGGTTGGAGATAATTAATAAAAGAAAAGTACGAAGTAGGTTATGTTTTTCTAGTTTTGCGCTTATAATCTATATGTATAAATAACTTCTAATAATATGTTTCCTAGGAAAACTATGGACCAGAATCACTCGTGAGTGATCAGAATGGTAAAGATTATAAAAAGATTTTTGATTAAGACATTTTAGATATAGTTTACCTTTAAAGAATAGTTACGTGTAAATAAAAGGCTACATGTAATAATTTTTAAATAAATATGTTTCCTAATTTTATAATAGAGACGTCGTAATAATGTTGAAAAGCTTCTAAGATAAGTAACAAGAATAATTAACTTGTATACATATATTTATATTTTACTGATTATTTGAAAGTGATTGCGTTCCTGTCGAACACATAATTTTTCAGAGACACGTTAGATAAACAAATCCACGTGTTGTAGAAAGATAACAATCATCTCATGTGTTACTAATAGAAAAGTAGTAGTATTAGTACACTAGTTCCTACGGTATATAATACTTACCAAACAGAAATTATTATTGCTTATAGATAAAATTGTTTCTTTTTATTAATAAAAAAAGTTGTAAATAAGTTATTAACTCCTTCATCTTCTCTTGTGACTGTATCAATGTAACTATTAACTATCTAAACTGATCACCCACTAAATATTCATACTACTTTACTCACTTGGATTTTTATATTATATCTTATACCTAAAAATATTATTGCAATTGTTGGACTGATTTTTGCTAAATAGCTTAAAATTTTTCCTTGACAATTCCATCGTTTAATAATATGCTATTAAATAAGAATTGAAGTTAACGGTGATGGTGGTGGTATTATTAATTAAATAATTTAAATTAAAAAACCTTTCAGAACCTTCCCTTGAGTAACAAAATTCGGACCTCACCACCAACCACAGATTATATGTGGAGTTGTATCCATATTTTTATCGGATAATAAAATCTATAAATTTTATAAAAATTTAGTTTAAAAACGAACAGTCGTTATTGAAGTAAATAACGAACATAAATTTTATTACTTATATTATACTAAATTTTATATATAAAAAAACAAATATTTTATTAATTGAAAATCCGACAACAGTGAACGAGAACGAGAACAGTGCCGCTACATACCTACATAGAGAAATACACGATAATGTAAAACTGAAGATGTCCATGTACTATCTATTTCTAAGTGTTAAAGAAGAAAATAATTATAAGAAATCTGTTATTAAAATTTATTATTGTGTATGTTAATTTTATATTTTTCTTAACCTTACTGCCATTTTATTTTCGACAAGTGTGTGTGTGTGTAAAAACATTCCTCTAAAAACACAATATTTTATTAACTGAAAATCCATACGAAACACGAGTACTGGGCCGCTAGTAGGTTTATATAGAGAAATAAACGTTGATGTAAATCCGTAAAGTTCCAGGTATCTATTTCTATGTTTTATATAAAAAAAATAATTATAAGAAAAAGCTTATTCTAGTTTATTATTGTGTACGTTTATTTTATATGTTTTCTTAACTTTACTGCTATTATATTTCGATTAGTGTAGTAACTATTCTTACACTGTGAGATAGTATAGTAATAATTTCTTTATGTGTCAAAGTCCATCTATAGTCAAAAGCTCTGGCAGTCGGCGCGATGCGCACCGCCCCGCCCACTCGTGCGCGTCATGAGTGCCCGCTGAGTTATCATTGTCGCCGCGCGTACCATACTTGCCCACGCACGTAATCTTTCAAATTCACTCTAACATTTACGTGGCGTATAAAAATAATTTGGTTATTTGCTTTTCGTACTGAAACATATACACTAGCGACAACCCGCGAATCTTAATCTGCGAATTTATTTTTATAAGTGATCTCCTGATATGTAACTTTGTAAGAAATAAATAATCACGTAATCAGCGTTGTTAAATTGTACTCGTATACTATCACTGAATGAGCATAGAATAGATATACATAGAATGAGCCCTCTGCCTCATTTGGAAAAGTTGATTCTCATCGTCATAACTATATGTCCAATTAAGGAATTGGATTATATTTTGGACTAATAAGGATTAGTATCTATAAAAATCTAACTATTTTAAATACTAAAACGGATACCTAAACATATTTATTTTGAAATAAATAAATTTAGTGCATAAATAAAAAGTCTTTATTTTGACGTAAATACGGGTGTATTATTACAGTATCCAAATGGAAGAAGTATTTTATTATTTTGGTTATAAAATCTTATTATATAAATATATATTACATAGGTTTACTATAACTATTTAAGAGAAATATATATAATATATAAATAGACACTATTCCTTATCTTATTGTAAATCTTACGATCTATGTTGTATAGATCGTAAGAGTCAAGTTAGCTCTCTAATCGAAAATTTTTTTCTCGATCAACTTGACGCTTTTTAAAAAGGTACAAACATCCATCCATATATGAACATATGTATGATCCATACATCTAAACAAACTTTCACGCTTATAATATTAGTAGGACGTTTTCGTTCTAACATTTCGAGAAATTAGAATAACGTATATCGGAAATGAAATGTAACTTTGTGGGTTGAATCCTGACATATAATAGATGACTATTATGTGAAATGGTTACATAGTGGTACTCATAAAGTAGATATAATGCATAGGCACAAATACTCCACATACCTATACCAGACACTACATATACACCAGTGTCCTTCATAATTGAAGTCTCTTCCCTCAAATCCTTCGATATATCAAGTAACTACTATAAATATTTCTTTTTTAAATTCGTCCTTTTTTTCCTACGCCTTCCTATAGACGGTTCAGTCATTAACCAAAATATTTCTAAATAATGACACCAAAGGTATGAATTTCCCGACGTCCATAGTGTTATTTATCATAGTGGTGACGGTTACCACTTACAGTCACTTGAGCGCAGGATTGTTGACAAAAAAAATGTTGATATCAGGCACACGCCAGTCGTAATAGTAAGGCAGATTCTTAAATAATATATATACAGAGACATAGTATGCCGACTCCAAATGTTCAATAGAACAAGGATAAGACAAGCAGGAAGATGACGATACAACGATAGGGATAAAAATTAAAAGTAAATCAATAGATTTATTCATGTCTTTATTAAAACACCCTCCACAAATTCTTCAATTTAATTACATACATGCACTCGGGTACATCGCTATGTATTATTTACAAATTACTTTAGATTACATATTTACACATTCTACTACGCCAGTCTGCACTGTATATACCTAACTAAGAACTATTACTTTGGAATGTAGGTACGTAAAATTTTATAAACGCAACAAAAGATAAATTATATTTAATGTATATATGTATTTTATGACTAGATTGTTAATATTTTGATGTCAAATCACGCTCACAATCAAACACAACCATCGACACAGAAACATCATAAATAGTTCTTTTAATAATTCCTTTACAGATAAAATACAAAAACAAATTATTCTGTATATAAAAAAATCGACATTAATGTATAAAAAAAGAATACAATACTTTATATTTAATTATTTTCTTTCGTTTACAATTAAGTGAGTATACTTCAATGACGTATACGATGTTTTGGAGTTCGTATTTACAGACATTATCACACAAAATTTTATTTTATATTGACCTAATAAATCAATTAATTGGTATCTAATACAAGAATTCTTAACAATACACTCTGTTTGAAATATTACACTTCTATACATGAAAACCAGATCGTGTAACCGTTTTAGCAATATAAATACATCTAAAACTTCGTTTAATGTTTATTATTGCAATAATACAATTAAATGGACACATTTTGGCACTTGTAATTTAATTTCACTAGTAGCGAAATCACACAATTTACCATTCGTAATTTAAGCATCATGTTCACTTCAATTTGTCACTCAGATGTCTCTAGGATGCTCGAAAATTGATGGTTATTTATTGTGATATCTCCTCCCCTTAACTCAGCTATGAAAAACAGTGAGTTAATAATACGATTTATACCCATTAGAAAAGATGGTTGTTCGTTTTAGCGAGAGTTCCAAGATGATCTGAGAGCAGGTAGTTCGGAGGCGCGACACCGAGCAGTGGGAATCCTGAGGGCTGTCGCAACAGGCCGCAGCCGCCGGCCCACTTGCTACTGCCAGTTCCACTCACGGGCGGTATACCTGGACCACCACCATTATTTAGCTCGTCACATAGTTTATTTGCTACAAAAAAAAAACAAAAATGTAAGTTAAATCGATTATTGAAATACATATAATACAAGTTTAGTTAATTGGGCTAATGTTTTAACATGGAAGATCCTATGAAGCAGTTATAGAATATATGTGTAATTTACAATATGAAATTAGTGACAATAAAGAATATATATATAATTTGTTATCAAGACTTATTGTGAAATCAATCAATAAATAAATTGACAATCACGCTTAATAAAATTTGATTCAAGCAGAGCTATCTTATCGAGACATATAAATTGATTTATTAGTTTAGTTAAAATAAGTTAATTTAATCATTTAAATCACCTATTGCTAACGTGATTCCGCCAAACAACCAAAACTCGTGCATACAAAACTGTCCGAATACAAAATCAGACTGCAGCTCGACGGGCGAATATGAAACAATCGTGGTAACGCAATTAAGCGCTAATCACCTAATCCTTGCCGCGTAGCTCCGTTGTTTATTCAAGCCTGAGTGACAATCGCGCGCACAATTAGCGCAAATGAGCCGAAGTGAAAATCTGGCGGCGTTGCGGCGGCGGCGTGCGGGCGTGGGTGGCGGTAATGTGATTAATATGGCCGCAAGTTCGCCATTAGCCGGTAAACCATGTTGTGTTATGGAGCTTGCAGAACCTACTGATCTCTCACAATGCGACCCACGAACGGACGTTACTGCATTAAAAAAATAAACTACCTATACTAAAAATAGAATATGTACCCTTCCTATCGATACATATAATAAAAATATACCTGTTTTAATTATATATATTGTGCTAAACTTCGCTTAAAATTTAGTGCTTGTATCGGCTTAGGAAAATGTTATACGGGTATGAAGACCCAGTCTGAGACAATTTTATTTTATGCGTAGTAGCTACTGTCCTGCCTTACTACTTAACTTAACCGGTATCTTAACCGTTCGAACCTAACTCTTATAAATACTTAAACATAATAATAATAATTAAAAAAGAAAAAGAACTCTAACTTATACAATTGCCCAGGTTTTATAAAAGAAGTATCAAAGTATAGAAAATTAAATGCAAGATATGTTTCAAATAACTATGATGAACTTGGCCTAAATTCCTCTGTCCTATAAATACAGAATACTCAATTTTAAATGGCGCACGCACATCATTAACGGTAGTCACATTTTCATACATTCTATATTTACAATCCTCTAATCGAATATTTATTCTGTGGAAAGCCTTGTTATTTGCGCCTACGCAAACAAAACTTGTAAACTAAAATAACGTAATCACTCCGGCTATTGGTAGATGTTTCTGAAGTTGTGAGTCATCGTTCTATAATTTCAGCAATCAATGCAACAGCCGTAAGTTTTCAGTTGATATGCCCCCGCCCAAAATATAACATTGGTAAAATTGTAAACAGCGTTTTCCGCTGTGGTTTATTTACATCGCCGTTTAGTTTAATGGTAGTTCCGTACGTATTTTGTAGGTAAGTATTTTGTACTAGTATAAATTCGTGTAACATTAAAGGTGTAATATGATATTGTAATGACATAAGATTTATTTTAATTTTTTACTCTTGATTTGTCAATATCTTCAGACTGTATGTTTATTATTATATAGCTAACTGACAAAATGTTTTTTTTTTTACTAAAATTTATATTTAATTCTAATCAACACTATAAACTATTTATTTGATTTATATAACAAAATGTTAATGTATGCACAAAATAAAATTGAGGTGTCTGTTTGGAATTTCAAATTAATAGCCTTCCTCTAAATGCATATGAAAGTATGTACGGTATTTACATCTAAAACTTTATTTAAATAATTTGTTCTAGCTTAGCTCTGAAACGGCTAGACCAATTTTAACGGGGCTTTCGCTCGTAGATAGCTAATGTTAATAAAATAGCTTAAAATACTCTATGTATTTTAGGCCATTTTATTTTGAAAATATTATTTATTTTATATTATTAAGCGGATCTTCCTATGTGATGGGTTGAAAAAATCGATTTTTTTTTTTCATAAATTGCTCCCTTAACATGTCTAGAATACGGTAGTAAAGCGATTTTAGAAAATTCGAAGTCGTTTTAAAGATACAGCAGGTAAAAGAAAGAGCGGTTCGGAGCGGTGAGTTGGCAGTTAGAGACCGGGCCTATTGTGTACCGTCGGCTTTATACCTGGCCTCCCTTTTATTAATATATTTGTTTATACAAGTTTAGACACGTTTCTACAGACTTAAAAAGGATAAAACCAATAAAGGAATAGGAGGAAAAGGAGCAGGTAAACTTACTGATAAAGTTATCCAAGAAATTACAAAATTCTACGGATTAGCAATTCGACGCCATCCAGATTCGCTTGAAGATATGAGAAAGGAAGTTTGGGCAACGTACTATCACAAATGTTCTTCTGATGAAAACCCTCAGCATCAATTTTGTCCAGAAGGCGAAGACAGTTGGTGTAAATGGCATAAGGCTGAAGCTAATAATGAACTGGACCAATTTCATCACGATAAACCACCTCTAATTCCGCAAGTCCAAGAAGCTATCAAACCGGTTTTCGAAGATTTATCGAAAGACGAATTATTAATTCGTTGTTTAGGAGCAGAGACACAAAACAATAACGAATCTTTGAATTCTTTGATTTGGACTTTCGCTCCTAAACATCTTCATTCTGGTCCCAAAGTTGTTGAAATTGCTAGCTACTTAGCAGTTATTATCTTTAATGAAGGTTTTCAAGGTATTTTAAAAGTTATGTCGATTATGGGATGCCCTGTTGGTCGTGAAGCCCAAGCGTATTTTGAGAAACGGGATGAAAAGCGAATCTTACGCTCTGAGCGGCGCGTAAGTGATGTCGTTAAACAAGCCAGGATTGACTCAAGAGCTGAACAATCTGCTTTAAAAGAGTTTCACGAGGAAGAGGAAGGAATACTCTATGGACCAGGCATCGCCGATTGAGAGTAAGTTGATATTTTAATAGTTTTTAACGGACTTGAAACTTTAAACGCGTTTTTCTCAAAACTGTGTTTTTCAAACTTTCCTCCATTGTATCTCAGAAACGGCTGGACCGAATTACTTGAAATTTACAGGGCACACTCAATATATGTAAACGCATGGAATGAACTTTCATCAATCGAAAATTTTCAAAACTTCGATTTTTTTATAGCAAAAAACAAAAAAAAAAACGCCTAATTTGCAACTTTTATTTCAAATGTCTATCAAAAATCCAATTTTTTTTATATTCATTTGATTATAGGTCATTCCGTGCTTTTAAGCCTACAAATTAAAACGCCGTTTTTTTTTTTTTCAGATAAGCCGATCAGCCGGAATCGTGGAGGAAGTGGGAGCTCTTTTTTTCGAGGCGGGGGTGTTCAGAGCGCTGTAACTCTAGTTTGACTGAATATTTTTAGCTGAAATTTTATATTTATACTGTCCAAATATGTGTTAATAAATGATAAAAAACTTGAAGCTCTAAATATTTACTGGTCGTAGAAAAAAAATCCTAAAATATCCCTAAAAAACAGGCCGTCACATAGGAAGACCCCCTTAAGTATATAAGTAGTTGTATTGTATAAGTATTAAGTTATATAATATAAATAGTCCACATAGGTTCTAAATTGTCTTCATGCCACGCAATGGACCTGACCCAAGATACACAATAAATCCATGGAGTGCTAAGAAGTTTATGTCTCTAAATATTCTAACTAGCATAATCTCTTTAATTATAATGAACACCGTAACTAAAAAGAACATATTATTAACTATTCGAAAAAAATATTGCAACTACAAAAATATATATTTTTATTTTCACTATATGAGATGATATAGGTAAGATTTCCTTTAACATTTTTTTCGCTAAAGGCGCTAAACTAAGACTCTCTGTGTAGAAAAATTTCTAGTTTTTTTCATTTTATTTTTTAATTAAACATAGAACAAGTATAGTGATGGATAGTTTTCTATCAACATGGAATCTGCGGATTCCTATTAAAGCCTGTCCGATACGTTCTTAGCCGGTTTTTTTTCGTTGACCACGTCATCCAAAGCCAAAATAATCGAGTAAAAATAGATATTAGTTCATGGCATATAATACTCAGGAATATCAACATATTTCAAGCCAACAAAATTGCGAGCAAAAATAAGTGGTATAGGTAGATACTCTCGGTTTCTGTTAAATCCATTTAAATTTGTTCGTTTTAAACATTATATTTATAGAATACTTGCAACTAACCGCAACTAAGTACGTCTGGTTTTATTTAGATAAAACTATGTCATCTACAAACATGGTAATACATTCTATTTTCACATCATATTTCATTACGATATGTTCAGCCGTTTAATCGAAAAAATGTAACAAACTAATCGACAGCCAGACAAACATTCGCTTTAAAATGTATGTATATAAATAAAAATAATAAAACTTCAATTTTATTATAATTATCACTCTTGCTTTTGTGTACCTGATAAGTTATATATTTTATATTTTTTTACCACCGTAAATATAATATTAATAAGTACATCTAATTCCACAGATATTTAATAGTTATATATATAATAGAGATACTAAAGTACCTACTAGCTACCTGTAGAAGACCGCCATGGTCACGTTTTCCCGTCCGTTATTTTAAGCGTAAAATTAAAGATGCGCTCAGAATACTTTATCACGCACTTACTACAATTTATAGCAGTTGCGGTGTGATTTTATTGTGACTACTTATTTATTTCAAAACTGTTTATCGTATAATATGTATAGCAAACTTCGTTAGTAAAGCATAAGAAATGGTAATTAAGACAAACTGAATAATATTTATAATAACATTAAATGAAATTTTAAAAATACCTTACACAAATAATTACTGGTGGTTTGTATTGCCAAATAAAAAAATGTTATGAAATCGTGCTTGTAATATCACAAATAATAATTGTTATTTTCGAATAAGTATTAACTGACATTCCTTAAATATTGCTTTTAACATAAGCAAGATTTAGGTAATGCAATAACGAAATAAAAATTTGAAGCTTTGCAGTAAGATCTAGGTATGCCTCTAGTTTGAATATTGTGAAAGTTGCCTGTGATTAATTTATTACATTTTATATTTGAAATATATTAATCGTAAAATAAAATAAAATATTAGTAGTAACACAGAATAGGTATTATATATACGACATGACTTTTCATGAGTAAAGGCCGAAGGCCGAACTAATATTTTATTTTATTTTCACAATCACTAAAAAATAACAGAATTATAATAAACATAATTACGAAATAAGCGTCACGGCCTCGTGGTTACTACAAATTTTGACAAAAAGTCGTCACATCTAATCTGGCCGGAATACCACAAGAAAAAATGTGCGTTAATTTATATTTCTGATTGACTGTCCGGTGACGCAGTAGGAGAATCTGGACGGCTATAAAAGCTAAATTATTACAAGAGAAAGAAATAGAGGTAGAGGCTTGACCCCTGCCATTTTGGATTTAAATACACACAGCAAAATGTGAGCAAGGGAAGTGTCGCGTCCACCACGAAATCTCGATTTCGACAATTTACGATGCCTCTGAATACCGTATCTGGGATACAGATAGGACAGTAAAAGAACAATCTTGAAAACTTTATTATAATTACCTGCTGACGTGATAGGTTTCAAATCGGGCGGAGATAAATGAGGCAAAGCATGGTGCGCTGGCTGGGGCGCCGATGCAGGTGGCGCCGGATGAGGGGATGTTGCTGGAGAAGACGGTTTGTCCCGCTTGCCCTCTGCTTTCACTGGGGCTTCACCCGCTTTCTGCTGTGCTAGACGCTCCTGCTTTCGGAACTTTGCCCTTCGGTTCTGGAACCATACCTGAAAATTAAAAAAATAATACATTTGAATTCCAGTAAATTTTAAATACAAAATATATTGTTTTTTAATTCGAAAGAACTGACTGCCTCATGAAAAATGGTATGTATAAATTTGAACCTCACCATAGAAGTCATAGAGAGTCAAGACTAAGACTGTATTACGTACTATATCGTCATGATGTAGCTCTGCTTCTACTAATAACAAATTAATAGGAACATTTAAAAAAGACTTAGCAACTGTATTGCGAAGACAAAGTTCTCATTAAGATATTAGATATAATTTTTAATCAAGTTTATTTTTGCACACAACTTATAAAATCAAATTCCTCTACAAACTTCAAATTTCTAACTTAGCGGTTTTTGTTTAGACAAGTTATTGAATACTTTGAATCTGAAAACTTTATGAATTATCTAATCATATTAGACAGAGTTCAAAATTTAAGTTAGTTGGTGTTCAAAAGAGATATGATTATATCTATATCCTTTCATGCTTTATCGTCACCTGGGTACATTACATACTAATAGCACATCATTTCTTCATCACACACACCAGGAATAAAAATACATAAAACAATCAGTTAATGTACAATTAAAATGTTGTGCACCAATGATGCGTATAACTACGTAAATAAGACTGTAAACAACAAAAAGTTAATGAAAACATCAGCGATGGACGTGTGTACGAGTGAACAAACAAAGTTAGCTCACGACCCGACTAATGGGAACGCATCCCGTGCATCGCGCGCCAAATTTTAATGCAAACCGTTTTATATTCGTTCGAATGCGCGCAAATCCGAATTGATCATAATTCGATTTGTAGCGAGAGATAATTGCAACTGCCACTGGCGCTGATTGGGCAGTGGTACGAGTAAAAAATGCGTCACAGGTATCCGCTTCCCCGCAACCCCGGGAGGCTGACTGCCGACCTGCTACAATCATATGTACGCATACCTTATTTGCTCATCGCTATGTACGCTGATGATGTTTGCTCGCCTTTATCCTTCTTCATTTGGCTAAAATGAAAGTTCAAATGTTACGACTAACGACTATATCACTTACTTAATCATCCCGTTATCGCCGTAAATACTAACTTTAATTTTATTGGTGTTAATATTTACGGATATAAAATTTATTTATCAAAATTTATTTTTATTGAGCAAATATAATGCAAGTTATAAACTATTATTACTACATTTACACAGTAGTCCAATAACGACAGTACATTTATTAAGGTAGTGTTGAACCTGCGACTTCGTATGTACGGTATTCGGAGTAACAATGGGTAACTTTTTATGTGCAAACCGATTACAACGAAACAAACACTAAGATATTACAACTACAGAAAGCTAGCTACAATACCATTACTTTACTGAAATCCGGTTAAATCATTACTTATATTAGCGTGCACAAATGTACAATGTATTTTCTTTTAACCTCAGTGACATACATAGAGACAAGGTTGTACACCTTGTGTGTCTATGTCATCTATGTCATCGAAATATTCCTCAAGAGTGTTTTTTTAATATGTAATGACATGTTATTATATATATAACATATTTTTATTTTTATATTATTACTTCATCAGTCAGGTAAACAATGAGTATAAGAAGATTGTTTTTCATTTGTCAATGTTTGTTATTTTCTTGACAGATATGAAGGAAATAATTGTAATTACTGAATCCCAAAATAACTTATTCCATCGAAATTTAATATGCTTGCTGTATTGTCTTTCTTTTGAGACAAATTATATATAAAACAAGGCTTGTTGTGCAACTACAGAAAAAATACCTACGCCTAAAACCGTACGTCATAAATAATAAGTCTCCATAACATCAAAATACATAATTCTGTACAATTACACTACACCCACAAATGTCGGCGTAAATTCGCCTTGGCAATGATCGTGACAAACGTTAATGACCCAATGATATTCTAGAAAGATTTGTATACTTTATTACTGTTTAGCAGAGATACTCTGTACAGACATCCGAAAATGGCTCTTGGCTTAAAAATATCTGTGACCACTACAGAACATTGTATAACAGTCATAATGATTTCATCGCGACATAGTTACTCTCTACATTTAATTTCCCCAACATCTAATAGATTCCTGTTACTAAGTTGTTGTTGTTAGGTCGTAGCTACTACTAATTATAATTTGTTTTTTCACAAAAAGTAAATCGACTTAACTCACAACGAAATTAGTTTAGGACCAATAGGACTCTACAGATATATAAGAGAACCGTCAAAATTGGTTCAGATTTTTCTTTTATGTCACTAGAATGTCAAATTACTACCTTGGACGATCACTCATACGAGGGGCCGACCAAATCAAAACATCGGTAGGCGGTCCACTCCACGAGTGAAGCAAGAGACGGCAAACTGTCATAAGGCGGATGATATCTGCCTGTCACTTCACTACATAATGACCACGACCGTTCTGTCAAGAGCATATCGAATAAGAAGAAGAATATAAAATAAGCTAAAGGTCCACCCGATGGTAAAAGGTAACCGTCGCTTATATATGTGAACAGCAGCACAGATATCACCTATTATACCTAAATGCATTACTATTTCGGAGGACTAAGATGACATTCCCCACACCGTGTAATTTGACTTTGACTATTCAACTGATACTCAATTTACATAGCTACCTACTGAGCGGTAGAAATAAGTTCAACAGAGGTACCCACGAAAACGACTTTGAAAAAGTTGTAAAGTAAGATGTTTTGCTTTGTAAAATGTCGGGGGCTTTGATAGTCACTAAAATTCATTATTATTTTATCACGAAGGTATATAAATAGTTCTGTTTGTGGGATATGACCTCCTAATACTACATGTAGTGTGATCATTGACACTGAAACTGAAGATATATTGTTGCTAGTAATGTGGGTATAGAGGAGACTGATGCCAACTGTATGTCAGTAAGTGCACAGGTGCATCCCGCCTGGAGTTACACTCATCCGCGTGTCTGTGTCAACTTCCCTCCACAATCTTGTCTCACAATTTCAAATCTGTCACTCTGACAGACATGTATAGCTTTTGATCCCATAATAAATGCTGCAAGTGTTATGACATACAGTCCATAGCGACACATTGCTGTCATATTATGTTGTATATGTAAAATTATTTTTAGATAAACATAAATCATTATGATTTAATTGCCCATTAGAAGCAACACACCCTGATGATAAATAAATATTGTGTTATTTAATATGTGCCAGCTACTACTGACATTTACTAAACATATTATACCGTAAAAACATATCTGTATGTATTTACGCAGGGTTTTAGTAACTAAGTATATACTTTATTTATAAATGAAAACAACGTGTCTTATATCGTGAATTTGCTCGTGACAATTCTATAAAGGCTATTTCTAATTTCAACATAGAAAATGACTTATTTATATGGATACAAACATTCAAATTCAGTAACGCGCCTTTTACGCGGTATTTATTTTATACATATACTCGTACATACCAACTTACATACGTTAATATTTAATCTTTATTTTTTTATGTTTCGTGTTTAGTACACATATATTACAAAGGTAATGAGGTCTAAACATGAATAATTTTATGGGAAATAAAGGTATTTACTGTTGACGTTTTACACCTAGTTTGTACTGGCTGTACTGCGAGCTGAATGGAGTACAGCGATATAATTTTATCTTAATTGTACGATGGTGGCATGCAAGCGGCCATATACGCCAATACGGCCCATCTGATGATAAATGGTTACCGTTGCCAATATCGGTAAATAGGTACAGCAGTTTTTTCAGCAACCGTCACTAGATTGTCTAGCAAAATGAGTAGGTATGATTTTTTGTATTGGGCTGGGTATTTCCTATATTATGTATATATTTCCCCAAAAAATATTTAGGCATTTGTATCAGTTACCTATCCTATTTCATTTCTTAACACAAGTTCCGCTTAGCTAGGGACTAGGGGGCGTTATGTGAATTGTCCTGGATTATTATTATTATGTGGTTGTCGGATTGTTGGATCAATGTACAGAGTTACCTTTATTTACCATAAAATTATTCGTGTTTTTTTTTTATAACACAGGGGACAAACGAGCACGCGGCTCACCTGATGGTAAGTGATTACCGCCGCCCATGAGCACCCGCAACACCAGGGGAATTACAAGTACGTTGTCGGCCTTTTAAAAAGGAATAAGCTCTTTTCTTGAAGGTTTCAATATCGTATTGGTTTGGAAATACCATTGCTGGAAGGTGATTCCACAATGTGGTTGTGCGAGGCAAAAAGTTTCTAGAAAACCGTACTGTGGAAGACCGCCATTCATCCAAATGATCAGGATGGTATTTCAGTTTCTGGCGGGTGGTACGGTGGTGAAACTCAGCAGCTGGTATTAATCCGAACAATTCCTCAGAACACTCCCCGTGATATATGCGATAGAAAATGCACAGAGATGCAATATCTCGCCGTAAAGCCAATGGGTCGAGTCTGTCACATAGACGTTGATTACCAATGATATCTGGCTGCTCGGTTCTGAATGCAGTCAAATGGAAGTAGCTGGTATTGTGGTGCTCCCGCCCAGAGATGAGAACAGTATTCCATGTGCGGCCGGATCTGCGCTTTGTATAATTGCAAGCGATGGGCCGCCATGAAATACGGTCTCACTCTACTGAGCACACCAACGTTTTTTGAGGTTATTTTAGCCTTGTCCTCCAAATGACCGCAAAACTGAACGTCACTGGATATCAACGCCAAGGACCTCGAGATTTGGCTTCACATCAAGGAGAGTGTCTTGAAACTGAGGAGATACGATAAATGGAATCTTTTTAGCGGTAAGTTAAGACTCAAATAACTATACCTAATAACATACGTTTTTACATATACTTTTTATGCTTCAGCCGACAGCAGCACCTTATTCAATTTCCGTAACATTGATTAAAGAAAAAGGATCGATTATAATATCACATATATTCCATTACACGAAATATAAGCAATTATAGTGCTTAGTCATCACGGAAAA